CTAGGACCAAAACCAGGATTCAGGGAAAAGGCCTGTAATGTCCTTATCAATGGGATCATCCTCTTGAACTACCTCAAAAAGATGTTTTCAGGCTTAAATGAAATAATTTAAAAACTCTCTGGCAAGGGGGTTGGAAAAAATAAACAAGTAAGCAAAACAAGCAAAAACCCGGCTGCCTCCAATGGGTAGCCGTTCATTCATGCCTGATAATCTGTTTTTAGTGTTTTAGTATTTCCTGCAGGAGGGCGCAGTTCAGGGAAAGACCATACAACAATTGGGAGCTCCCAGAAGTTTATGGGGGCAACCAGGGAAGAATCTTTTGAATGATAAGAAACCCTATCTTGCTGTATTTTAAAACAAAATTGGTAATTGCTTTCCGGGAGATACTCAGCATGAGGTGGACCTGTTTCCTGTTCCAAAGTACGCAGCCGAGTTGCATCCGAACCTTTCCATCCACTGCAGAGAGCACACCCCATCCCTCTACTAATCAGGCTACACAGCAGGGATCCTCATCATCTGCTCTAACTCAACTTTCCAGCCCGGCCCCCCACAACCGGCTTCACATACTCCCCTCTGCAGCGATCGCGGGCCCCAAGCGCCGCCGGGGCTCCGTCAGGTCGCATCTTACCCTGGGCTTTGCGTGGCTGTTCCCCCCGTGTTCTCCTCCGTGTTCTCCCGCCTTCACGCTGACCTCACACAGAGCCTGCCGCACCCCTCCCGTGCTCTCACAGCCCCCTCGCCCTACTCTCCCCGGTCTAGCGCTGACCCTATTGGCAACTTCTGCCTTATGTGTGAACAAATCTGTTTCGCACTAGGCTGCTAGTCCTGGGAAGGTCTCTATTTGCTGCATTCCCAGCAAATAGAGTGGCTGGCACAGAGTAGGTGCTTAATCTATGTTTATACGATTCACGTGGGGTAAAGATGCATCTGCACTGCTCTATCACGTAGAGCTCTATGTTCACAAATTGTCTGAAATCACCTGAAACCCCATCCATCCCCGAGATGGGAGCATTCGCGACCCTGTGGGGGTTGGCCACTAGGTGGCGATGTTCTGCTTCTAAACGCTCTGCCAGCTGTGGGCGCGCCTTTCGGAGGCGTTGGGGAAGGGGCTTTGTTTCTTCCACTTCAAGCACCAGGCTGCCCTTTAGCAAACCACGGAGCAGACTGACGCCAACCTTACTCGCCCTTTCCCTCCCTGTCTCCCAGCCGCATCCCTGCAGCAGGCAGCTAATTTGATTGCTTTCTACCACATAAAACCTGGGGCAACACTATTGCTCAAAACCGGGGGCAGCATCCCTGCAGCTCCGGGCAGGAGCCAAAAAAGGAAGGCAACCCGTTGGCCCTTCATGAGATATATCTGACAGACTCATTGGCAGCCTGGGTTCTCACCTGGACCCCTGCAGGCTCCAGATGCATCAATATTGCAGTGGCTTGCGAATGGCCTTGGGTTCAGACCACGGGCTCACCCCTTGGTGGTTCAGGGACTTTAAGGAAGCCACACTCCTCTGTGTCCACTTATGGTAAAATGAATGGGGGACATATATGTGCATCCCCCTGCACTCGCAGGTCTGCTGTGAGGGCAGTGCCCGGTGCATCACAGGTGGGGAGCCAGCATCCAGTACATGGAAGTTGGCACTGTCATTATTTTTGCTGTGAATACCATTAACCACTGTTTCCTGCCTTGAGATGCACTCTCTTTCCCTCCTTTTTCCACACAGCCCACAATGATCTTGTCACCCTCCTTCCTCATGGCTCTCACTAACCCGGGAGGTTACACCAAGCTCTGTACCGTGCAGGGCAAGCAGGCCCCTTCATCGTTAGCCCAGGCTCCACCCAGAGCCTCAGTCACCCCACTGCCTCCCTTTCCAGGATCCCTGCTCACTGACCCACAAGTACAGCCTTGCACCCTCTGCCTCCAGCCTCCATTGACTGGACTGCCCCTGCACAAAAGGTCAGGCTCCCTCATTCCCTCGAGGCTTGGCTCCAACGCAGCCTCCTCTCTGGCGTCCACTAGCATCTGCCTCCTCACAGACAGAGTTAGCATCAGCGACACATCCTCCTGGGGTCCCACAACCACGCACGTATCTGTGTCCCATCTGCAACCCCCACAGGCCCGTGAGGCCCGTCCATCAGGAGAGGGTTAACAAGCGGTGCTGGGACTGTGTGCACACGCAAGCTCATTTCATTCCGTCATAGCTCCTTTGCACATGGGAAACCAGCCACCAAGAGGGGACATGGCCTGCCCAAACTGGACAGCCAGCCTGGCACATTCAGGACTACACCCTGCAGTCCAGCAAAAGTTGACTCAAACCATTACGCAGGAAAGACGGTGAGTGTGGTGACAAATAGATGCCAATCTGCTCTTCAACCTGACCTGGTGAACTGTGAATTGGAAAGCTGACTGTGTGTGTTTTTCTTTTTTTTTAATTGCTAAAACTAGATACCTGATAACTTACAGATTAAAGCCATTTCTCCTTGGATGCTGAACTGTGCCTCCCACGAGCCCACTTCTCTGGTCTGGAGCTGGGGCCCCACCAGGCCTGGAAGGAGAGGCCAGCTCTGCAGAGCAGACACCGTGAGCCTGGCACTCAGCAAGGTCCTTTCACGGGCTCTCGTGGTTCCTCCAACAACCCCAATATGTGATGAGGAATACAAGGCCCTAAAGGCTGAGCAACGTCCATGATCATGCAGCTGATGTGCAGAAGGGCTGGAGCCTGGATCTGAGCCCAGGCCAGTGTGGCTGTGAAGCCTGTGGGCCCTTTCCACAGTGGCACTGCCTCATGTGCACTCAGGGGAAGAGCGGAGAGCTGCCCCCATCTGGAGCCTTACGGCCTGTGGTCTGCTTAGCTATCCACTGGGTGCACTGCCTTTACTGTGTCCAGGCCTAGGGAGTGTCCGCTCCCATGTGTTGGCCTCCAGGTCTTTTGCCAGCCTCATCTTTCCCTTACACAGTCTGTAAACGGACTCCTGTCTTACTCACATGTAGCCTGCCGCCCCAACTTTTTATGATGGGCAGTGCCTCTATTATCTGTACAGGTAAGTACCCCCTTCCTTGAGGCTCATATCAAATGGAACCTCCCCCATAGACCCTTCCCTAATGCCCCCCCTCAGTACCCAATGCCCATCTCTGCATCCTGCCCTCTCATAGGCATCTCCTGTCCGTCCACCATAACTCTGAGTTTTGCTAACTTGATGACATGGTCTGAGGCTGGGCGTCTCAACCCTGGCTGCACGTTATACTCATCTGGGGAGCTTTCCTTTTTTTTAAATTTTTTTCTTCCAGTTTTATGGAGCTATAATTGACCTACAACATTGTGTACCTTTAAGGTGTACAACATGATTTGATTTGCGTATATATTGTAAAATGTTCACCACAATAAGGTTAATTAACACATCTATCACCTCACATAGTTACAAGTTTTTTATCTTGTGATGAGAACTTTTAAGATCTAGTCTGTGAGCTACTTTCAAATATACAATACAGTATTGTTAACTGTAGTCACCGTGCTGTACATTACATCCTCAGAACTTATCTTAAACTGGAAGTTTGTACCTTTGACCACTTTCACCCATTTTCCCCACCCTGACCCCTCACCTCTGGCAACCGCCAATTTGATCTCTGTTTCTATGAGTTTGTTTTTTTTGATTCCACATATAAGTGATATCATACAGTATTTGTCTTTCTTTGTCTGACGTATTTTACTTAGCATAATGCCCTCAAGGTCCATCCATGTTGTCCCAAATGGCAGGCTTTCCTTCTTTTTTATGGCTAGATAATATTCCATTGTCTGTGTGTGTGTGTGTGTGTGTGTGTGTGTGTGTGTATACCACAATTTCTTTATCCATTCATCCATCAATGGACACTTGGGTTGTTTCCATGTCTTGGCTATTGTAAATAATGCTGCAATGAACATAGGGGTGCAGATATCTTTTCGAGATAGTAATTTCGTTTCTTCAGATACATCAACAGAGTGGAATTGCTGGATCATATGGTATTTCTATTTTTAATTTTTTGAGGAACCTCCATACTGTTTTCCATAGTGGCTGTACCAGTTTACATTCCCACCACAGTGCACAAGGGTTCCTTCCCTTTTGTCCATCCTCACCAGCATTTGTTGTCTCTTGTTTTTTTTGATGACAGCCATTCTAACAGGTGTGAGGTGATATCTCAGTGTAGTTTTGATTCATCTGGGGAGCTTTTAATGAAAATATAAATACCTGAGCTCCACCCCTAGATATTCTGTTTCAACCAACTTAGGTGGGACCCAGGCAAGGGTGTATTTTTAAAGCTCCAAATGTCTTTCTACTGTGCAGCCAGAGTTGAGAAACACTGGTTTAAAAGACAGAGATGTCAGTTTGCAATGAGACAGCCTCACGAGTCCTGCTTCTGGCATTGATTAGCTGTGTCACCCACCTGAGCTACCATGTTCCCTTCCATCTCAATTTGCCTCTTGTTATAGAAGGATAATAGTACCAAGCCAGACCATCCAACGCAATGGGATGTGAGAGTGTTCCGGAGACTGTAAATAACAATAATATGCATTTGCCACGTATTTATTAAGCACATATTCTCAATACCTGCTTGATGGATTTTTGGCAAATGCACATTACTGTTTTCCTCCTCACCATCATCGTCATTGAAGCTAGCCTCCTGCCATATCTGAAGCCGTCTGAGCACAGATGCAAGGTCTCTAACCCCCCCTTTAAATGGATGGGAAATGGACCAATGAATAAATGTAGTATGAGCTCTAGGGACACAGAGACCTGTTACCTTGTTTAGTTTCTCCAAAATATCTAGCACAGAGCTAGACACACAGTAGCAGTCTAAAAGACACTTAATGATTTAGGGTAATGGGATATGAGATTATTTCTTCAGTTTAAGATCTAGAGTGAGGTTACAAGTCCTGTCTTCCATCTCCGATTTCTATATCAAACAAGCAATTATGTTTGCCCTGTCTAACTACTGCCATTCAGACCCCAGGAGTTGGTTCTCTAATTACCTGTAGCTCTGAGCACAGCTGAGAAAGCGTTTCTTCAACAGCAAGGGACTCTAGGGAGAAAAAAGTGCAATTGAATGGACACACACTGAAATCTAGCAGTTGGTTTCAAGTTGGCGTTAAAGAAACACAGCTCATGGGGACTCTCCTTCTACCTAGTTGAACTGCCTAAAGGGGTTTATAAAGAAAGAGGATAAACCTGATTTGCAGCCCTGTGACTTCACACTTGATAAAGGTCAACATCGTCTCATGGATGCGTTTCTGAGAAACAGTAGATCCCCACATTCATATAGCACTTTGAGCGGTTCAAAGTGATCCCACGTTCTTTTCTGCTTTTGCGGGTACATGTGTGCACACACACATATGTATGACACATATGGGACATGGATTTGTACCTCCATCATACAGGTGAATGATCGGAAGTCCAGAGAGATGGACTGGCTCCACTGACTGCCTGGCTCCACTGACTCTGGTATTAGTGATCATCACAATCCTGCATGCCACCCAAAGAGGAGTCTGCAGTCCTGCCATCCCAGCAGCAGGAGCCTGATGGCCTCTGGCCATTTGTGACTTACTGTTCACAGTTTTGCCTGTTTTTGAACTTTCCTCTAGTTCCATGATGTGTGGTCAGTGGTTTGAAGTTGACCACAGCATGGTCTCTAATACAGCTTTGTTGTTGTCCAGGTGAGTGGAAGCAATCTCTCCACACCTTACAATCCTCGATAACAGTCTGATGAGCACACATCTATCCACCCTGCAGCTCTACTCAGGTCTGTGTAATGCAGCAGGCATAATGGACTTTTGTCATACTGATCACGGCTGTGTGCTTGGTGTCTGACACAAAGTCTGGCACATAGTAGATCTCAATAAAAATATGATACTGAGTGAATGAACACATAAACTCAGTTCCTTTGGGTGAAAAGAAGGCAAGAAGCCAACTGCTACTGCACCATCTCCACTCTCCCTTCGAGCTCTGTACACTGGCTCTGATCTGTGCATATCTTTATTGCAGGCGTAACATTTGAATCTGAAAAAAATGCAACTCCACAAATGTGCTATTCAAAGAGTAGTGCCTGAGCCCAGGACCTGTTTGGGGTGTTAGAGCTGATAAAGCTAGATGGTAAGATGCACCAGAATTCAGTTCATCAACAACACTGCACCTCCTCCTTCACCCTACATCCCAGGCACTGCATATGGGTGATCTGAGGGGGCTCTGCTCTCAAAGACCCCAAGTCTAGCAGGGAAGAGAAACATACAAAGGAATCATTGTTATGTGGTGTGTTCAGTGCAGTAACGGACAGTGTACAAGGCCTTAATACCGCCAAAGCCGTGATTATCTCAGCAGGTGAGGACTAGGGGACAAGGAGGGAAGTTGAGGCACCCAGCTGGATTCTGTTGTTAACCTTGAATACCAGGCTAAGGACTTGGCCTCTGTTCTAGGGGCAAAGGGGCCTCATTAGAGGACTTGGAGCAGAACCATGATGCATCTCCTGCTGTAGGTGAATGTGACATGATATAAACGACCCTGCCCCGGGAGTCACTGCAGGATCTCTGTGCTCCTGTCATGGTTCTGCCACATATTGCTGTGTGACCCTAAGTCACCTCTCAGCTTTGGTTCCACCATCTGTCAATCAAGAAGGATTCAGGCCGAATGATCTCCATGACGTCTGATGATGTGCAAGAAGCAGTATATCCACAGAAAACGAAATATAATGAATGGCTACTAAGGGGTTTCTATAATCATCCAAATTAAAAAATAGATATGAAGTTCTTTTTTAGGATTGTTTTACACACTTGTAAGTTGTAATCCCATAACTACAGCCTAATTAAGAAAAGGCTATAAACAAGCATTTTCCCTTAGAAAGCAGCTTAACATTATGCACCAATAGCACCAGGTGTGTAGTACGTGTCCCATAAATGCTTGGTGGATGAATGAATGAGAGAATGAATGTGCCTTAAGGTGCTCCTGTCTTTTCTTCCTGCATTTGCTCATCCAGCATTGTCTCCTGCTGGAATGACATAGGGTACAGAAAAACCTACCTGAAACAGGGCTTGCTCCTGTGACGTTTACAAAAGCAGGCAGACTTTTCTTAAGCCCTAGTCCAAAGGGGAAGGCCGGCTACTGGGATGGGGTTTATCCCCTGCGCCCAGCCCCTTACCCAGCTCCATGTGTGGCAGCTCTGGGATGTCCCTCATGATGACCAGGAAGTAGGCACGGAGTCCCCGGTAGGCGTGTAAGAGCAGGAAGCACAGCTCCCGGTGCCACTTGTAAGCGTGCTGCATGCAGTTCTCGGAGGGCACGTAAAAGCTCGCCTGCAGGGGGAATGAGAAACGAAAGCTGAGAGAGTTTAGAAAGACTGTCACACACGGCCTGGTCCTTAGCTCAAGATTCCAAGAAAAGAGAGAGTGTGAGTCTTCCCTAGCCCTCTGTGCGGGAAAACCATTGAAATCTGCCAAGCTTCTGTCCTATCATGTTCAAATTTAAATAATAATCATAATAATGATAATAATAAATGATGATGAAGACGATGATGATGGCACTGACCTCACAGGTTTGTGACAACTGATGACACCCACTTACACACCTCTTTCCCTCAACACCATAAGAAGAGGCCATGGCGACAGACAGAGGTGGGCTCCTTTTCACAGGGAGATAAGGAATTTAGACAAACCCTCCTAGTAGGTGCGTGAGTAGCACATAGTGCTGAAAAGGAGAAAAATACCTTGTTGTAAAATCAAAAGAAGTTGTGGGGTTAAATGATCAATCTTGAGAGTGCATTTTGTAAGAGGCTCTGAATGTGAGCATGCAGTGTCAGAATGTCTGTCTGTTACATTTTGTTTGTAGCTGTAGGATGCATTAAACCAGCAGAATTACACAAATGTGGTTTGTCTGATGAGGAAAAAATACCTAAGTCTACAATTTACTCGGAGATCTAGACATGATGGAAAAGAAGTAACAGGACAGTTCTGACTCTTGTAAATTGAAGAGAGAAGGACGTCTTGGGGTGAATTTCAGGAGGGATTTGTTGTGAGAACAGGGAAAGGAATCCCATGTGGAGAGGCTTGGGCAGCAGAAATAGAGAGGTACTGAGTTGTGCGCTGGAGAATTCCATGGCTGTCTATCTACTGCTCACGTGGCTGTGAGGGGAGGAAGTAAATAACTCTTCATGATCCCATGCAGCCTTGTCTGTCCTGCTGGAAGGAACTCCAGGTGGAGTGTTGGTGGAATTCCATTCTCTTGGCTTTTGTGAGTTGACTTGTGTATCTGGTGATGTGGCAGCCTCCTGCCTCATTTGGTTTCTATTTTCCTTGCTGCCATTCAAGAGGGCTGAGTTGGTCAGTGGTGGCAGGACAGGTCTGATGGGGTCAATATCCACCTGCATTTCATCTATGCTCCCAAAGTTGCCATGAAGGCAGACAATGATGGGTGTAATTATATTCACTCTAACCACTGCAACATGATGATTGGGTCACATGTGATGTAAGGTGCTACAAATTAGGAAACCTACATGGGAGTGTCAGGTCTGCTGTCACCTAGTTCTGAGCTAGTCTTAGGTCAGATCCCTAGAAAAGAGACCCAAGACAGAAATACGCCTTCAAGTCATGGGATGTGTGTTCAGGAGCAACGCTTTTTGGGAGAGCAGGATAGGACAGAGGAAGGAGTTGCACTGTACTGTCATGCAGTCACAACAGAGACTTTAGTCCAGCCCATGGGGAGCTCTGGACCTGCAGAGCTGTCTGGCCTTGCAGCAGGGGCCAGGTCTTTGTACCCATGCATTGACCAGTACTGGATGTGGGTTACCCCTGTGGAGGAGGTGTGACTTTGGTCAGCAATTCTGTCAGACAGGGCAATCTCCATAAAGGGACTTGGCCAATTGCTGTTGGCCACTATCATCCCTGACAGTGTGAAGAATAAGAGATTCAGGCCTGAAGTTGGGATCTGGGCAATGCACCACCACCTCCAGTTGATTAACTGGAGGGACCCTCAGCAGCTCCCTTCACTCCTCAGGGCCTCACGTGAAACCTGGCTTTGCATTACAAGGTCACCAGGTCCCTTCTGATTTGAACTTAAGAGAGACATTCAACAAGGTTTGGAATCAAAAGACTTTTCCATTTCATAAGCATACAATTCAGTCAGCTAGAACATCTGTATTCACCAGGCACTCAGGGTAATCCACATATTCCCATTTCTCATCTTTCCCATTATGTTAAGATGAGAAGTCAGTACAATTGTAGAAAGACTAGCACAGCTTACGTATAGCAGAGTGTGTCAGACTCCCCAGGTCTATGGAGCAAGAAGGAATCCACTGTTTACGAAGCACATAGATATTTGCATCATACTTCATCTCATTTGATCTTCAACAAGCACCATATAAGGCAGATATTCTAATTGTAATTTTAAAAATAGAATATAGATATGGCAAAAATCTCAATATTACCAAAGGAAACAATATAAAGGATCTCATTCCCCAGAGTCCGATAATTTCTTGTAGATCCTTCTAGAAGACTTCCAAATGCATATGCGTATATATATGAATTTAATATATGCATGTGTGTCCTGAAAACACTCAAAGACACACTCTCAAGTTAGAAAATGCTCTGGACATTTCTGTTGCTTGCTTGTATCCTTATCATGCCTTGAAGTTCTTTCTAATTAGACCAAATAGTAAGTAATAGGAACTCTGATTCCCATTTCATAGATCAAAAGACTGGCTTAAAGAGTCTAATGAGTTGTACAAGGTCAGTCTGCTTTGCCCGCAGCAGAAATGAGTCTCAAGTTCAGGTGCTAAGTGAAGGCGGTCCTTTCTCAGTATGCCACATGTACCTCTGTAAACCATGCCCGGCAGAGGACAGATGCTCGACTAGGTCTGCTTGCGTTGGCTGAGGCATTAACTTAAGTCCTGCAGTGCCTCCATTAGCTGTGACTAAGCAGAAATGAAAACAGACAGGGGATTAACAAGGGCATCAGATCCAGGAGCTATGAGTCCCCAGTCTGCTCCAAGCAGCCCTAAACCTTCCATTTTCTGGTCCTGCCACCTGCTCATAATAGCATCTTCTTATCACCAAGGCCTCCTTTTGAAAATGCTTCAGGATCCATTAAAGAGGGCAAGGAAACTATGAAGTCTGTTATTAGGTTTGACTTTTAAAATTAGACCCCAACATCACACGGATTTTTCAAGAGAGACATAAAGAAAATGTTGGAGAATCTTCATAAGTCTGATTTAATACGATTATTAAGATAATATGAAGTCAAAATGTGACTCAAAAGAGAAATTCTGAAAAAACATACAGCTGGAGATTATTACAAACAAAACAAAACAAGACGAAATTTGTTCTCCATAAATTACCCAAAAGCACGACTTTTAGAAAGTAAGTGATACGCTGCAGAAAATCCCATTAGCTGGCCCTCCCGGCCTGCTTAGCGAGTGTGGAAGAGCCCATGTACCATTATTAGAGTTGCTTGAAGTAGATTGAAAAGCCTTGCACAATCTCCCCAGCACAAAAAAAGAACACTTTAGCAATCCCCCTTTTCGACAGTCTGGAATGGAAACCCTAAATAATACAATAGGATTCACGCAGGGCAAGCAGAACATTAGGCTGTGCGTGAACTCACAGTGGAAGGCTCCTGGCTGGGGCCCACCCCACAACAGGTACATCATCTGTAGTGGGGGGAGTCATGACGTGGCCTTTCAGGGTTGCTGTGAAGGATTAAACAAAGCCATTCAGGGAAAATGCAGACTTAGGTGATATCCCAGTGTAAGGTCAGTGTGCATTAAAAGAAACTTTACTCAGGACACACCCATTGATGGCTTCTGGGAACATGTCTACGGATTATGTGGCTCAAACATCAACAGCGATCCACTTAGAAATCTAAAAATGGATTTTAACTTAATTGAAGTCCTTTGGGAGCTGTGCAGGGATGTGGTCTGGTTAGAACACAGAATCTGGAGTCTATACCTTGCTCGTGGATCAGCCACTCACTATCAGTGTGACTGAGCTAGTCCCTTAGCATCAGAAGTGTCAGTTTCCTAAGCTGGAAAGTAGGGATAATAATAAAGTCAGAGTGCTTAGTAGAGTGCCTGGTTTATACTAAGTACTTATTAAATGTTAGGAAGTTGTGCTTTTTATTCCATTCATTACCTGACAGAGATAGTGAAGCTTGCTATCAAATCCTACCTTTATATAAATGCCTCTCGAATCCACATCTCTAAATCTAATTCCTGCCCTGGGCTCCAAACTGCTGGTGGAAGCTTACCTGTTGTCGCAAAGGCATCTTCAAACGAGCTTATTACTGTCAATCCTTCTCTTCCCTCTGGTCTTCGTTAGTGGACCCACTTTGCCCAATACCCAAGAAAGTCAGGGAGTGCTCCTAGACTCCAGACTTCTCTCTCACCTCAAGAATCTGTTATAAGTTCTTGGAGGTTTTATCTCTAGAATGCTCTTGCCTCTGCCCTAGTTTGAGTCATCAATATTGCTCACTTGAATTCTTGAAATATCCTTCCAATGGGTTTCGCTGCTCTGGTCTTACCATCCATCTGTGGCGCAGAGTATGAAAGTCAGTTTATAGTGTTACCCCTGTCTACAAGATCAAGATCTAATTCCTTAGCATGGCCTTCAAGGCCTTAAGCCCTGGTCACATTTCCAGGGTCTCTGCTGCCTCCTGTTTCACACCACGGCTCTATCCACTTTTCTCCTTTGAAGGGCCTATCCCCTTGCTGCCTGAAACTCACCACCAAGACTCAGGTCAAATGCCATCTCCTCTTTGAAGCTTCTCCAACCACTGCCTCCTCTCGGGTCCCTTGCACATTACTCATTAGACCACAATTATTTCTGTATATCTCTCTCGCCAACCCTCTATGAACACCTTGAGGGTATAAAAAGTGTGTTATTTGTCTTTGAATCTGTGTTTGAATCTGAAACACCTAGCACATAGAAATTCAATGAATACATAAACTGAATGAATGAATTGTAGCATCCTCTATGGGTCTCAACAACATAGACTTGACAAACATAGGCCTGGATTTAAAGTCAAAACTACCCTCATCTCCCTGTACTTGAGAATGGTGGGGCTTTCACACAGTTTTGGAATTTGGATTTGAATTTGCTGGGTTACCACAATAATCATACTATAGATATTTATGTCCTACATAAAAACACTTTATTTATACTTTATAAGAAATACGTACACAGTCTGAGTTTTATTTGGCATGTGATAAGCATTGATAACTTTTCACTTAATCAAACATGCCTATAAAAGCAAGACATATTTTGGTATAGAAATATCGGTACACCTTTTGTGTTAGAATCATGGG